GACGTGAGTAAGCGCCTTGTATAGCAGTAGCAGTAGTAGTAGTAGCAGATCAGTAGCCCAGTAGTAGTAGTAGTAGTAGTAGTAGTAGTAGTAGTAATATAAGAGGAAATGCTGCAATGAGGTCGGGGATCGTGGTGGGGTAGCGGAGAGAATGTGTTAAAGATAGAGGAAGGGGAACTGACATAGAAGTGCGGTAACATTTTGTTTACCAATATGCCTAGGCTGCGCTGTGGGGAGGCGAGAGCGCCATGCAAAGAGAAAGCCGTTAGGGACGAGTGAAGAAAGTCGGGCAGCGGCAAAAAAGAAAGCTCCGCACCCGCACACGCAACCTTCATCCATACTCACCGCAAGGAAAGGCACGAGCTTACACAATTAGGTTGAGCTACGATAAATAATAATCCTGCCGACGAAAGATACCCCTATGTTTTTCGCCATCAATCGCTGAAGTCGTCATCACCCGGTGGACGCTGCGGCTGAAGCCACGAAGCGCTGAATCTGACAGCTTCGCGCAAACAGTTGAAACTGATGGATGCGGAGCGCTGCTGGGGAAGCCATGAGATGAGCTGAACTATTAGCGCTGGGTGATTAGCGTGATTAGAGGCGTTAATTATTCAGCGTCTGCGCGTTGGCGAGGTTGGCCCGCCAGCACCTGTAGGGGAATGGCGACCTCCCTCATGCCTGCATCGATATCGGCGTGCATAATTGCTGTGACGTTCATCTAGTGTGCTAATTAAGAAGCTTTGCAGCACGTGGTTTGCCTTTGCTGTTATAAACTACCGTGACTAATTACGATAGCGTGTATCACGCCACGATACATTATGCACTATACACACACCAAGACACCATACGTCACGCTACGCTACGCCACTTCGAGCTACACTACGCCGCGCTACACTACATCACATAAGGCTACACTACACCACGCTAGCTTACATCACATAAGGCTACACTACACCACGCTAGGCTACATCACATAAAGCTACACTACATCACATAAGGCTACACTACACCACGCTAGGCTACATCACATAAGGCTAACACTACGCCACCGCCTGTACACTACATCACATAAGGCTTACATACACCAACGCTACATAACAATCATCATAAGGGCTTACACTACACCACGCTAGGCTACATTCACATAAGGCTACACTACACCACGCCTACACTACATCACATAAGGCTACACTACACCACTCTACACTACATCACATTAAGGCGGACACTACACCACGCTATCCTACATTCACATAAGGACACTGACGACCACGCATACACTACATCACATAAGGCTTACCACTAACACCACGTCTACACTAAACAATCACATAAGGCTACACACGCAACGTCACACTAATCACATAAGGGCTACACTACACACGCTACACTACATCACATAAGGCTACACTACACCACGCTACACTACATCACATAAGGCTACACTACACCACGCTAGCCTACATCACATAAGGCTACACTACGCCACGCTACACTACATCACATAAGGCTACACTACACCACGCTACACTACATCACATAAGGCTACACTACACCACGGCCAGCCTACACACATAGGCTACACTACACCACGTACCACTACATTCACAATAAGCGCTACACACACCACGCTAGCCTACATCACATAAGGCGTACACACTACCGCCACGCTTTACACTACATCACATAGGGGGCTACACATACACCAGCGCTAGCCTAACATACACATAAGCTACACTACACCCACGTTACACTACATCACATAAGGCTACACTAAACACCACGCTAGGCTACATCACAATAAGGCCTACACTTACGCTACGCTAGCACTTACATCAACATAAAGCTACACTACATCAACGGCTTACACTACAGCACATAAGGCTACACTACACCACGCTAGCCTACATCACATAAAAGGCTACACTACGCATGCTAACACTACTACTCACTAAGGCTACACTTAACCACGGTTACACTACATTCATATAAGGCTACACTACACCACGCTACACTACATCACATAAGGCTACACTACACCACGCTACACTACATCACATAAGGCTACACTACACCACGCTAGCCTACATCATTATAAAGTCTACACTACGCCACGCTACACTACATCACATAAGGCTACACTACGCACCGCACCGTACCACACCACGCCACGCCACGCCACGCCACCGCACGCCACGCACGCCACAACCACGCCAACGCCACCGCCACCCACCGCCATCGCCACGCCACGCCACGCCACGCCACGCCACGCCACGCACGCCACGCCACGCCACGCCACGCCCACGTCACGCCACGCCACGCACGCCATCGCACCCGCCACGCACCAGCCACGGCCACCCACGCCCCACGCTCACGCACGGCCACCACGCTACACTACACTACACTACACTACACTCACTACTACACTTCACTACACTACACTACACTACACTACACCACACCACACCACGCCACGCCACGCCACGCCACGCCCCGCTACGCTACGCTACGATACACTACACCACGCCACGCTATGCTACACTACACCACACCACACCACACCACACCACACCACGCTACGCTACGCTACACTACACCACGCTACGCTACACTACACCACACCACCCACGCTACCGATACACCTTACACCACGCTACGCCACACTACGCTACACCACACCAACACACGCTACGCTACACCACGCCACGCTACGTCACACTACACCACACCACACCACACCACACCACACCACACCACACCACGCTACGCTACGCTACACTACACTACACCACTACACCACACCACACCACACCACGCTACGCTACGCTACACTACACTACACCACTACACCACACACTACTCTACACTGAACTGCACTGCACTATACTATACTACATGTTTCCCTACGTCCTACCAGCCCGCATCGCACCGAACAGCTCTTCTACTAAACGGCTCCGCTAGCTGGCCCTTATAGTTTACCTGAATGCACGACTGCTAGCCCTCGCGAGGGTTACCCGTTCCCGTGGCTTCCGCTTGCTACTAGCTACGAGTGGCAGCCAGGCAGAAAGCACAGTCTGATCTTCGTCCCAGCGGCCATTGGTAATTAATTGGCAGGCGAAACAGACGCGCCCGCTGCGACGGCGCTAACATCTGACGCTGCGCAGGTTCAAACGATCGGGAAAACGGCGCACGCGCACGCACGCACGCACACACAACACACACACACACACACACACACACACGCGCCACACGCACACACGCACACACAACACACACGCACACACGCACGCAAAGCACACGCACACGCCACACGCACACGCACACGCGCCAGCACGCCACGGCACACGCACACACACAGCACCAACACACACACACACACAACACGCTACACACCACGCACACACCGACGCCACACACACGCACACGCCACGCACACACACGATACGCCCGCACACAAACCTACCTAGCACGATGGCGAGCGTCTTCGTCGCGCTTCTTCTCTTTCTTCGCCGCCAGCTTGTCCTTGCGCTTCTTGCTTACGGGAACGCCTTGGTTTGCCGAAGCTGAACTGCGTGGACGTTGCGCGCGGCACAGCGAGCACTTCTTGCTGCTCCACCTTGCCGACGTCGTTCCATTGTTCTTGACGACAGCGGCCCGGCCGCGTCGACTGTCGTTGGTTATATCTCCGCACTACCGTTGCCCGTGAGAATATTACACTACTAAAGAGCATGTATGTGTTTAATCTCCCGGGCTAACGTTACCAGGAAAGTACACTACTAAAGATCTTGTCGTGCTATCTGAGGCTGGGGCCCACTTCCGGGTGCGTCTTCGGCGGCTGTTGTTTATCTGAACCACGAAACTACGGCTTCGCGCGCCAGGAACCCCTTATGCGCCGCGGTTTGATACTAAAACATCGTATGTGGTTCGTGAGTGTAGTAGTCCGCGGTGATCGGTTCCACGTACAGGCGTTGATATCCTACACTTATAACCATGGCGCGCGCACCTATTTCTGTCGTGCTCGACTTCTCAACGTATCCCTTCGTCCCGACCACCCCCCCCTTTACGGGTCCGGTACCAGGGAAGTATCCTAGCGCACTACGAACAAGCATGTACTTGGATGGCTTCACTTCCCTCGGCCCTACAGTCGGAGTCCTAGCGCCGAGGGCACCGTATTCATTACGGCAGCAGTGTAAACCTATGTTATCGTGTCTCTTGGATTCATATCTGCCCTGGACGACTGAACCCGCGGCCTGTTCTTCGCACGCGTCGGCAGAGACATACTCGTGGTGCCACATATGTCCCACACGGTGCAAACATGATGGGCGGCCCGGTCCGTTCTACTACTCCGTCCCTTCTGCCTACAGCGGTCTACCCAAGGGAGCACACCGTAATTATGCCGGGCAACGAATACGTCGGTTAAACACATGGTGATAGCTGTCGTCGGTCGCTCGACTCGTTGCGGTTCTCGTCGTACTCGTCCGGCACACGGCTTCGTCCGGCTTGTGTATATATCCTCCCCCTACGTATATGAGAAATATTACACTAGCTAAATCACTGTAGTGTGTTTATATGATCTCCCCCTACGTCTAGCAAGGAATAATACGTCTACTCCAAGAGACATGTGACCGTGCCTCGTGTACCGGGTGGATTCTAATTCTTCCCGGCTAACTGCGCTGTCTTGTGCAGGAACTTCACTGCGTGACACCGTGATTTGTCGCGGATAGATCGACCCTCCGCGAATGTATCCGACTGGCGTGTAATTTTTGAGTAGTCTGCCCCTGGCGGCGAGCCCCACGTTACCTTAACGGCGTCGGAGGGTTCGCTATACTGTTCTGAGCCGACCTAGCCTGAAAAATTCGATTGATCATCGTCAAGCCGTGACGGCCGTGTTTCTCGATCGTGCCGGCGGTTGCGCGACATGCGGATTGCGCTTCGCGCTTGTTCGCGGCTGACTCTGTCCAGGCGCGCGTGTCACCTCTCGCTGCGGGGCGCTCTGCGAATCACCTGGAGATTGGCGCTGTGTTATATATAAATCCCCCGTCTAGTGTGGAGGGTAAAGAGATTAACTCAACTGCGCGGCGTATACACGTAGTATCACCTCTCCACCATGTCGTAGATGCAGGGAGCCCCAGCTGAGCGGCGTGACAGACCTGCACGCAGCAAGCTAGCCGACTCACGGAGGACAGGGACAGACGCACAAATACCTGCAGAAACAAGGCTACGAGCAGGTGAGCCTGCGGCGACCATATATAATTATATGTATATATGTATATTATATACTGTATATCATTATAATTACTATAATCATTTTATTGCGGCGGATTATAATAATCATTCAGGCGAAACGGGTTAGACACTCTTCTACTAGCGTGTGAATAGCTATAGAGAGTGAGCTCGATGTATACCTGTCTACGCTGATCGCCGCTAGGTTGAAAATCGAAGACGTGCTAGCTGTTACGTCCATCGCAGTATAAATGTCGCACGCAGCAACGCCCAGCTCCCAGATGCCCATCTTGATCTGCAACGAAATGAGCAGGCGGACATGAGTTTTCTAGCTACGACGGAAGCACCTCAATATAGCGTATCTATAGTATTACGAAACTACGCGTGAAAGCCACTTTAAAGCTTGGTTAATTACACTACCGACTTTATGTTGGCGAATTGGCTAGTTGGACCAACTTCCCAATTCGCCAACTCCGAGTTGGCAAAAATAGAACATGTTCTAATCTCCCAACTAGTTGTTATCGGTCGGTTGGTCGTACAATTTTGGCGTTCACACTGCATATTGTCGGTTGTATAGTTGGGAAGTTGATCCAATTCGCCAATTCGCCAACACAAAGTCGGTATAGGGTAAACCCAGCGTTAATCAGACATGCGCGTGTTTGCAGGTCTGACGCCCTACGTTCAGTGTAGTAGTGTACCATAGTATACATCCCCTTATGACAAACATCCCAGTCTATATCGTGCGTGGGGATTGGCACGCATGTCTAGTAGTGAGACGAGTCACAACTATGAGTCGGATTTGACCTGTATTGACCATGCCCATGTCGGGACCCAATCCATGTAGATGGGAACGCGGAATGATTGCCGTAACGGGATGCATGCCTTGCTACGTAAGGCGTCTACATCCAGGCGCCTAGCTCGGCGCCTTAATAGTAGTCCAGCAGATTAAGTCAATATATTTTGGGAGAATCTGTCAAATTGCGAGACAAGCACCAAAATTGGTATGAATACTCCTCTGGGACTACTATTTTTAAAAAGCCCGTTAGCTACTTAAAAATTCAAGATGGCCGCCATTTTTTAAGATGGCCACCATTCCTGAAACAAAATTACTATTTTTGCCATAAAATTTGACAGAATAGTCCGATTTGAATGATCTTAGCATCAAATCATATATTCTTGACTACAAGGAAGCTGAATATAAGCGCAGTTCCCCACTATCCCCTGGTCGCGTGCCGATTTTCCATCACTAATTGATAATGGCAGCGTAACAAAACCTCGTGAAACTAAAAACTTCCGAAACGCACGCGAGCTGATATTATACTAGAAAAAAACACTCCTTCTTTCATTGTACGTCAGAATGAATTAATAACGTTGAATGGAATGAGGAGGGATATAGGAGCTATGAAGTTGGGAGTGAGACTGATGAGAAATAAAAGCTAAGGAGGAATATCGAACGAGTAAAATGGATCGGGAAGGGCAAGATAGTTGTTTTGTACTGACCATGTATAACCACTATTGGGAAGCATAGAGAGAAGAAAGGTTTTGAACTGCATTCGCCCCGTGTTTGCAAGGCTCGTCGACAACACACTGACATCGCCTCGCGCGGGGGGAGGTGATGGCCCGGGGGGTGGGTACCCCGCACAGTGACGTACATATATATATATGCGCCGCATTATTGCCCCCCCCCCATTTTTCCTTGCCATCTTTTTGTGCCCCACATTTTTTCCTAGCCATTTTTTTGCCCCCCAATCTTTCCCTTGCCATCTTTGTGCCCCCAATTTTTCCCTTGTCATCTTTTTACCTCTGCCAGGGGCATGGCGGGGGTTATGTTTTCACCGGCGAGTTTTTGAGTGTTGTTTTGTGTGTTTGTGTGTTACCATGCACGTTTCAGTTCACTTCCGCTAGGTGCGCTGGCTGTAGACTTACAAACACGCAACCACAGGCTAAGGGGCAACCACAGTCCTCCCCACCTGCCACGCTCGCACTAATCCGGATCCACATTAATAAAAAATTTCACATTGAGAAAATTCCAGGCTGCCTTGGCGGAGGTCTGTGCTCTCCGAGTGCTCTAGTTGCCCTATGTTTTTACCATCGAGCCATTTTTTTGCCCCATGTTTTTACCATCGAGCCATCTTTTTACCCCATGTTTTCACTGTCGAGCCATGTTTTTGCCCTCTTTTCCCATTTAGGTGGAGCACCCTATCCCCCAAAAAAGTGAGTACCCCCCCCGGTGGGGGGTGGGGGGTGGGTGATGGGGCGGGCGGCACCGCGGTTGACGCCCCTCCATGTCTCAAACGTAACACAGCAGATCTACCTCAACACTCGCCGCCATGTTTGGCTCGCTTTCGCCCGCGATACTATTATCGCGTTCACACATAGTTTGGCTCAAGCTAAATGGGCTAAATTTGGCTTAGGCAAAATTTGGCTCGGGCCGGTTCGAGTCGGAGCGTTCACACGTACGTAAGTG